ACACGAATCCTAAACATATAGAGTGCAGTCAAATACTTGTCTGAAGCTCTCGTTTAACCCTTTCCTCACATATATTGCACACTAAAAGTGGAGTCAAGTTTTTCAGCGTCTGTTAGTAAACAGTGTTTGCAGTCTATGGGATACACGACTACTGTATAACTCTATGTATTCATTGTTTGTCTAATTTGTATTATTATTTAAAATATGAAATATTTATTTGTATTTAATAAAAATTGTGTTAAAACATCATTAAATGCTTTGAGATATTATAGTAAAACACGACCAGAGCTTCCAAAATGTGATTTCATTGCAAACAACAGTAAAGTAAGAAATTCTAATAAAAAGTGATAAACAAAAGAATTAAGTTTTACTTTTGATGTTAAGCCGAGATTAGGTAACTTCGAGATCGAGACCATTCATAAACTTAATTTGAATCCGTGTCTCAAACCGTGGTATCAAAAGCCTGTTATCCTCACTCAGGGATATATGCAATATGTTTGGGATAATGAGAACAATAGATATTTAGGTAAATGTTTATCATTATGCTATTAATTTACATTATTATTATAATATTACCATTATTGTTTAATATTTATATGTTAAGTCATTAATATATTACAATATTAGACTTAAAGTTTATAAACTTGAAAATTTTTGTAAACTTAAATCTGTTGTTTGATATTACTCTGTGTTATAACTTATAACTTATAAGTTATTTTGTATGAAATTTCAATTAATTGTTATTGAATTATAAATTAAAAGCGAAGGTTATTTGAGAATAAGTTTGAGATATTAATATCATATTATTGACGATTCAATCATTCAATTGCTTAAAACACTACTCTGTAGTACAGTATCAATGATTTACTTTCACATTATGCCAAACATTATACAAGAATTGTATCTAAAATTATGGGAAAATCGTTTACTTTTACTTTGAACATCGTTTAAAATTATCTAAAATATTATCAAAACCTTGAAATTATAGAATTTTATGAATACAAACATTTAATAAATATATACTTTACGAAATGCTATTAAAAATACATTTGAAATGCCATCCAATTCATAGATTTTACATAAAACTCTAGATTTGTCAAATATCGATACTCTTAAAAAACTTTTTTGAATACACTATTTGTAACATAATTTTAATAAATTAGCAAATGATCTAAACTGGAATGCCATGAAGTGGGCGGAGATTGTGTCCAAAAGTTATGCAAATTCTGAATTCTCTTTATTAGACGATTCAAGTGACATAGAATATACCTCATAACTTTTGCACCGCATATTTTATATAAAGTAGATTATTTCATTATAGAATAAATTCTAAAAAATAAAATACAATTTCTTCAATTCTTAAGATTAAATATATGATATGATAGTGGTTATATTTTAAGTTAAAATTTAATTTATTAAAATTTTAACATTTAAACTAAAATTTTTAACACATGGAATTGTAATGAATGACAATTAATTTGTATTTATTGATTGAATATTGGGCTAAGATATGTTCGGAGGAATAGTGACCACTGGTGTCGGTCACTGTCACCCAAAACTGGTAGACGCGGCCACTAAACAGCTGAAGAAGTTGTGGCACACGAGTAGTGTTTACTATAACGAAGAGGTCCACGAATACGCCTCAAACTTAGCCAATCGACTCCCGGAACCGCTTAATAATATTTTTTTCTGTAATTCCGGTTCAGAAGCCAATGATATCGCTATTCTTATGGCCAGGTTTTATACGATTGCTTTAATATTAAATTACTATAAGATCTAAATAAATGTATGCATTTTAAACCAAGCGTAGACTTTACACCAAATCCTACGATATAATAGCATTGCGTAACGCATATCACGGCGACTCTACCAGCACTCAACCCCTGTGTGGCGTTCAGAGTTGGAAATTCCCGATTCCCTCACACTTTGGTGTCCATCACACCACTAATCCCGACCCATATTCCGGCCGGTATTACATGTCGTCTCTTTGTCTTTGACCGCAAACTTATTTTTATTGACAATAACTACAGTTTTGGTGGCAATAAATGTCGCGATTCTGTGGTCCAAACGACCCGCGACTGTGACTGCGGTGTCGATGAATGCAATGCTTGCGATCGTTATATCGAAGATCTTCAACAGGTGTTTGACTCGACTTTACCCAAAACTGTGTGCGCTTTCATCGCTGAGTCCATACAAGGCGTCGGAGGAGTCGTTCAGTTTCCCAAACAATTCCTGAAGAGAGCCTTTCAAATGGGTTTGCATTCATTCAGACATTAAATTGTTTTAAAATCAATGATTTCTGTTTTGTCTATTAGTTCGAGAAAGAAATGGTATCTGTATTATGGATGAGGTATGCATTTGACGTTCAATTGATTGATAAAAATGATGATAATTTGCAAATTAAATGTGATTTAAGGTTCAAACGGGTTTCGGGAGAACCGGAACTCACTTCTGGGGTTTCGAAGGACACGAAGTGATTCCCGACATAGGTTTGCATTCTTTGATTTGCAATTCATGTTTTGACACAATATACGATTTAATTAAATCAGTGACAATGGCTAAGAGTATAGGGAATGGGTTCCCATTGGCTGCTGTGGCCACCACCGCATCCATAGCCAACACATTGACTTCTGCCTCATATTTCAATACATTTGGCGGAAATCCCGTAAGAATTTCAGAATTTCTATTATTATAGAAAATAATTTAATAAAATTCAATCATTTTCTCGAATCGTTATACAAATCAAAAGAAATTATTAGTTTTGTAATACAGTTATAAATTATAACTTATAATACAATTATAATGTATTGTCACGTATAAACATGCCTTCAAAATGTCAATCAAATCAATTAATATAACGTAAGACTAGCTAGTTTTACGCACTAGTGCTTCACTGTCAAAAATTGCGAGGCTTCTCATTATATGGACATTGCTAAAAGGTGATTTTGGTTCAGATTCACATAAAATTGTGTGAAACACAACACATATTAAATAAATTCGGTTGTGCTTCATGCAAAATTCACAGTTTAGTTTTCAATTTGGGTAGCCGAACGATCCTATAAACCACATTATTCATACTGAATTGTGGTTAAAAACTGTTTATATATTACATCGACTGGTCATCGTTTGACCACATTTTATCTTATTTTCCCTGTTTTCAGGAAGATATTCATGAAATATCTTTCTTCCCAAAAATATATTCCTAGAATATATTTGACAGGGGAGGGAAGTGTCTAACATTAATTAGGGATATACATGCATTCTATGAACGAGATTCTTTATTCTTCTTGTTTAAAAATGACAATTGGGTTCATTCATCCCAACAAAACCACTGATAAAATGAAAATAAAATAAAGTCTGTTCTGGATATAATATACACTCAATAGTATCCACAATTCATTACAATCCCCATATTTTGAAACCATAAGTCAGTTGCCATTCATATAATGTTAAAATTGTATCGTTATTATCCACATTTTTGT